CTTTCTACGGTTCTGATTTACTTTATTATTATTCTGATGAGCGCGTCTCGTGAGTAATTTGCCGATTAAATAGGCAAGACTTGTAGTCTTTTGTTTGTGTTCAGAACATTTCAATCTGTTTTTGTCTTTTTGGAGTCCAAGGAGTTTATGGCTCGAAAGAGAAAAAAAAACAAAAGCTATGCTGATGAATTAGAGTTTGCATGGGACCATGTAAACCAAGAGAAAACGGACGTAAACTCTTTTTTAACAGCGGTTTAAAAATGGCTAATGTGGGTTTCTACGGTTACCGTCCACAGTAATTCGTCACGAAAACGAGCTTTCCGCAAACACTCTTCAAACCGGAGGAATTTGAAAACGCCGGCTTTGCTTTTTTAATGCTGAAGGAAAGCATTTTGTAAACGGAGCTTTTCGAAAACGACGATGTGAAAATAATCCTGTGATTTCACTGCCCGAGTTTTCCTCAAAAACAAATCCAAAATGACCGGCAATAGTTACGTTTTAGATTTTCTCCGGCGTATTGTGGACGGAAAACCTTTGATGCATTTTCAGAGTGAAAACCCCGTTTCCAAATTTCTCTAACGTAGTGTGAACGGGTCTTATTCATCCATGACTGGTTGTGCCGTCCATGAAAAATATTATTACCTAGTCTAAAATGTATAGGTTTTCCACATGCCTAGTAATGACAGAGGAGAATCTCACTGTTATTGTCATGGTAATTTTGCCTGATTGCGGGAAAACTTTTCTAGTGGTTTAATGGAGGGAGAAGCGAGTCTGTCCTGCATGGGAAGGATTTTACATTTTCCCCGGCGAATATCAACATTTCATGAGTCTGTTGCATTTCAAATCATTTTGAACTAATCCACACATCTTTCTTTCACATTTTCACTCTCACCGCCGCGAGATTTTTTCTTGGCCCAGAGAAACGAATATAACAGATGCACTATTTTGAAAGTACAGCCTCAGGAAGGGCGAGTCGCGAGGAGGCAAATTCATCCTTCCCTATCCTCCATACCCCCATTTTCCTCACCTCCTCCACAGCTTAGTAATTTGACTATGTTCTAAGAATCCCTTCTGACCTGGGGACACTGAGCGTCTTAGCCCCCTCACCCCCCGCCTAAAATTACGCTCTGTCGTTCTTGTGCTAAGAAACCTTTCACTCCTGCGCGCATACTAGAATTTTACCTGCAGACTAAAAAATTAGAACCATTTTACACACTATGATATATGTTACCATGTTAAGGAATATTTCTCACTGTAAAGCGGCCCTGGTATATAATCGTTTTAAAAGTCGCTGAAAGTTAGCAGTGCATAAACTAATGAAAGGTTTCACAGTTAGAGAGCGTTCAAAGGGTTCAATAGCCTTTTTATCTTGCCAGTTCTTTTCAATAGAATTTAAAAAAACAGCAGGCAGCCTTAATTTTCGACTCAATCCAGTTATTACGATTTATGTTTTGCGTGCACTTCATGGGTTTATTTGCGCCAAGTTCTATTGATGCCTGGAATACTTTGATAGCACTCGGTCGGTCGGGTTTGTCAGAAGATAAACGCCCTAAAAAGCAAACTATATATGTTATGTTTTTGGACCTCTTGTTCAGCAATAGAATAAAGCGACTCTAAGAACTTTATCGCCCTCGTGCAGCGCTATTTACGCGCCCTATCTGTTTTTCATCTGTTTAGTTTTTCTTTCTGGCTGATTAAACCCACGTTATCAACGAACAAAATGATTGCATGGAAAAAATTGAAATACACTGAGAATCTCTGCTCAACTAATTATACCCTTAGCATCTCAGACAAATTAAAAACCTGTATTCCCGGCATAGAGCTGCTCTTAAATGTATCTGTGTTGAATTACTTAAGCCTAGCCGAGCAGAACCAAATCCCACAATGAAAGCATTAAAAAAAACTTAATAGTGTCAGTACAAAGGGGAGGTCAAAAGAGTAAATCTATTATTTGTAAAGAAACGTCCTGGTGAAAAAAATGACGCCTGTACAACTTAGTATGTATTTTACACCAGTTTAAAAATCTGTTTCTTATAAAGTGAAAAACAAACTATAAAAATTAAAATCTTTTATTAACTTGGAATTCTTTGATAATTAGTTTGGCACAAAGGTGTCCTTTTAACTTTGGAACTATTCTCAAAAATAACAAGTATAAGTTCATTTCTGTACGTCAGCTACAATAACCGGTTTCTACAAGAAAAAGTGCAAAAGTAATACCTACATTTATACAGCAAAGCAGGATGCAAATAGTATTTTCCATTTCTTCTCGAGGAAAGCAGAGGAAGCAAGCCGTCGAAGTAAGATATAATGTTTTTCACTAGAACTGTTCACCCTTGAGTCACCGTAGGAGTTTGCTCGCTCATAACTAGAGTGATCAGATCTTTGTACGGTACAACCTCCTTCTTCTTGTCTTCGATGGGCTTCACAATCAGCTCCATTTCGTCCTCTGTCAGTCTGGAATCGCCCTTCAAACACAGAAAAGCTCGCAGTTGTAGCGAATCGATTAGGCCACTCTTCTCGCGATCAAAAGTGCTGAAGAACTCCATAAAGTCCTCCATAACTGGCTGTGGCTTCGCTTTCATTTCTTTGTAAATGGCGCAGAATTCCGGAAACTGGACTGAGTCCTTGGATTTGTAGTCGGCCTCGAGCTTTTCCAAGTCTACTCCTTGTGGATTCAAGCCGGCCGAGCGTAGAACATCCTTGATCTGGGCAATTTCAATGCTTCCGTCCCCCTTTCGGTCAAAAAGGGTGAATATTTCTTCCAATTCTTCTGTTTCAGCCATTTTAGATTGTCTGAAGTGATTGAAGAGTTACTTGCGTAAATTTTCTTATGCAATGTGAAAGTTGACCGTGGCTTTCTTCACAGTGTTGGCGCAAATTGTAAAGTGTCTCTACAGCGGAAAACACTTACTATAAAACCTTAAACTTTTGTTTCTTTTAACACCACCCTCTGCGCCAAAATTACCAACGATCCAATCAAACAGCTCGAAACTCACTTAGGTCAAGTTGGGGGCAGGTAAAATTGTTTATAATGCTCTCGATTGTTGTGATTGATTGCCTAGATCAAAATATCGACAGTTTTAGTCGTTTAAATTTCAAAGACTTCAGAACGCGTTCTTTATTGTGTGGATATTAAAATATATTAATCACAGCACGGTACAGGCAAGTTATTGACAATTAGAAGGTTCGCGTGCGCTTACTTATCTTACAACGCCTAGTTTTAATCGACGCAACACAGCCCCATGGTGTTTTTTCTTTTAACCTTCACGGGACGAAAGAAAAACATTACCAAATACTGCTCCGAAAATTGTGCATCTACGATCATGCTATATACCTAATGTATAGAGATCTGCTTTTCCACAATCGTTGCAACTTTAAACTTTTTTAAAAGAAAACGAAAGAACAGTTGCCTTTAGCTGTAGGTTTCACACCTGTGTGGACTAAATTATGGTTGGAATGTATAATTACGCTTTTGTGAATTATCATGCCTTTTAAACATCTTACTCCGCGCTAGAAGTCTCAGATGTGAAAACTGTTTAACTTCTTCTTGTTACCTGAACGATTGTAACCAATTCTTTTCAGAGCAATCAGTGAAATAAACGAGATCAAATCCCTTCAAGTGGTTAGTTTTTAACTAGTTCAAATCTTATAAAATCTGTCGCGAACAGGTTGTTATTGTGTTTATTATTGTTTAAATGCAATGGTTCATTGAGTTAGATCTTAAACTTGTCATATTTATTTTGGTGATTAGTCGTTCAGAGAAAGTATAGCATTTATTGTCTGTTGTCTCGCGAACAAAACGACAGCGATATTGACCAAAACTGGCAAAAGTGAACATGAATTTCTTTTTCAAGCCAAGACAAAGTTAGTGTGCCATTCGATCGCACGGTAATCCCTTGAAAATGTAATAACAAAATATTACGTCATACCTTATAGGATAAATCAAGAAGCTTAATTACTCAGTACAGACTGTAACAAAATCTCACCGGGGTAGGGAAGTAATCGCCAAGCACTACCTGGGACTGGGCGGTAGGTGTTACAGCCCCAAACCCACCTAGTTCTTGTTTGTTGTTTCAGTCATGTGTTAAGCTGAATGGTACGTCTTTAGGGCCAAATTTTAAAACCTATTAGTACAAACATTGGTTTAAACTATTTGCAGTGATAAACCCTGGTTACTGGCTGCTGGTAAACCACAAGTATATAACGCTGTAAAAAAAGATAATCTGGCTTTTAGTCTTTTTAGACGCCGTCAATGACTATATTTTGTTACTAGACTAAATGAGTAAAAAGTAACCGTGGATGAAATTCCCGCGGACGTACCTTGGTTCAAAGTGGTGGAAACAGAAAATACTTCCTGAAATATATAAGTACTGTAGCCTGTGTGGCAGGCGTTCAAAGGGTATAAGGAAAGGAGAAAACTAAATTGCGCGATGCAGGCTATATTGAAGACATACACCGTGACTAAATGTATACCAATCAGAACTTGATGAAAATTGCCCTCATAGTATCTGTAGCGAGTTGATTGGTCCAGCCGAAAAATACTACTCCAAACGGTGTATCGGTTGCTACAGTAATAAATATTGGACTCAGTGGGAATTAGTCTCCCACTCAGACGCTCTTAAGGAAGTTTCAGTTGGATTCTTGAGAGCTTATCCACGCGAAGAAACGTATGAAGTACCGAACTCTGCGCATTCGTCTTCCACACGTGAAGCGCAATGAGAGTGATCTACACACTGAAAACTACTGTGAGGATTGCTGGTATTATTTCTAAGTTGAAACGTGTCAGTTTTGTTTCGCTTTCTGCCAAGTTTTGCATCCAGTCATAGAACAGTGTATTTTAATTTCCAGTCAGCAACCAGATCAGAAAAATTAAAGAATAGATCTTACAGGGAGTGATGTACACACTGAAAGTTATTGTTCGTAAAGGATTGTATCGTATTAGTTTCAATTTGGTACGTGTTTTGTTTTGCTTTCTGCCAGGTTTTGCTTCCGGTTATAGAACAGTGGATTTTTTAAATTTCCAATCAGCAGATCAGAAAAATTAAAGAATAGATCTTGCAGACCAGTGTGATGCAAAATTTATCTGAATAAGGTTGGCTGGTCTAACCGAAATACCTAGTCAAAACGTTTTAGTTGTTCCTTCTTCTGCATCAATGAATTCGACTGAAAGGGGATCACTTTCATTTTGAATCAGGGTTCAACAGGTTACTTTAGCGCGTTCTACCCGAAAGGCGAAATTATGATTTAAAAACGCCGCAGTCATTGCCACAAAAACCTTCTTCAACTTGACTTGAAGCAGACCTCCATATGACTTAACACGCTCAAAAGTACACGCCATTATCAGTTTTCCTATTTCCCTTTCAAATTGGCTTTGAGTTCTGGCTGTTTTTGGCAGGTTTCGTTTCCGGTTATTAAAGAAATGTGCATTTTTAACAGCCAATCAGAATGGATAAGATTTGACAGGCCAGACTGGCGCGAAATTGGCGCGAAACAGCTGTAATATTGCCACGCATGATCACCCACGCGTCGTACTACAAAACAGCTCTGTAAATTATGCTTTCTTTTCTATATTGTATGAAACCACTTTAAAGAAGAAACACTGGTTTATTTCCTTTAGTTTACAACGTCTAACTTCTCGAGTGCGATGAAGTGATAAACATAAAATTACTGAAGACTTTAAGTCGTATTTTCCGATTATCATAATGAATGAATATTATCATAACAAAAAGGCCACATGATACTAGACACGGCTGATGCAATAATGTGATGGGTTTCCTCGGACAAGCACTTAAAACGGCAGAGAAATGATTGGTTCGTAGTAAGAGCATGAAAGCCCCGAATGACACGAGAAGACAAGTTGTCGTTCAAGATGTGTGCGGTTATGAGAGGATATTGCTTCTGAAAAGAGGAGCTTGATCGTTTATAAGGATTCCCAGATCACTAAAATAATCTCTCTTTTCATGCAAAGTACCTCCTATGACGTTAGAAAGGATGAAAATTTAAAAACAAATTTCTGCTATACAACCGACACAATGATTACTGAATGTCAACAATTTGTCACGAATTCTGATTGGTTGATTTTTTTTCTCGGTGTTTCATCATTCAGCTGTTTACATATCACGCTCTGAGCACATGCGACAGTCGGCTTTAAAACTAAACCATAGCGACACCGGCAATTTTGTAATTTGTTCTCCTAGCCTGAGGACAAGCTTAGTTTAGGAGCAAAATCCCAAGTAGGTATTGAAAAATCCCCACAAATTCAGACTATGTATAGAGACTAAGAAAGACTAGAATGATTTACACGAAAATACGCCGGTTTCAAAACGGCTCGAGCCTTAACCGGCTGTTAACTTGAAATTTTTTGCTTTGATTCCCAGACAATTTTACAGAGGTGTGCTGAGTTCTTGCGAAAAGATGACGGAGAAAGAAAAAGCAACCGAGAAAGGTGCTACGTATAAAACGGTATCAACAGTGGCAATATTAGCTACAGATGAAGAAGACCACAAGGGCCGAGTGGAAGTTATCGAAGCCGAGAAAGTACGACTTGGCTGGGACAATAAAGTGCAATTTCTACTCTCCGCGATCGGTTTCGCTGTTGGATTAGGAAATGTTTGGAGGTTCCCTTGGCTTTGCCAGAAGAATGGAGGAGGTAGACAAAATTGTATTATTCAATTATTCTTCCCTTTTGTCTACTTTATTATTTACTATTGAAAAATGCGGTTTTCCAGGTTTGCTCGTGTTTATAATAATTTCTCACCGTCTCTGTGAACTAAGGCGAATGAGCCAACAGGAGATTATCTCAGCCATGTAACAATTCAGAAATCTTCTTCCCGTTTTCTCGTGTCTGGCTTTAACAAGAATACTCCGTATATTTTATGCTGAGCCCTATCGCTTAAGACCCTCTCACTAATTATCTGATTAGCTAGTTATAGACTAGTGAGTTTGGATGTGAATTGTAAAATTTTGAAAGCGTGTTATAAAATTTTGTAAAAACTCAAATATTGAGCGAAGCAGTAGTCGGTATCACAAAAGATTTTCAACAATAAACATTTTTAGCAATTTTGGTGATATTTAGTCCTCAAGAACAAAAACATATAAATTTAAAAGTATTGCGAAGTAATAAGATTAATCTTCGTTTCAGTTTAAGAACTTCCTTCCGCAGTTTCAAGGTGTATTGGACAATGAATTGGAAAACACATTAAAAAATCGATTCATTTTTCAGTTTCCGTCAGTTGTAAAACAAAGTAGGAACAAAGCTAAAGCTCTTGAACAAAAGAATTTTCACAGTTTAGAGATCAAACATCAGTTAGATCTAACAGCACAATGAAATTCCAATCGACATGGCTCGTTTCCCTGACGAGTACAGTTCACACGGTGAACAAAATTAAATTTGCGCAAATGACACAAGAAAATTTTCAACGAGGTCTTCGAGAGAGAACTTGCTCTTCGTTTCTTTAATAAATCGACACGGTTTTTTTTTTAATCCCCTTAAAAAAAATGTTACCAACAAATACTCTAAAAATTGGGCTCTCGAGGATCAAGCACTAGCCGGAAAACATCAATTATAAACTCTGTGTTCACAGCGAGACAAAAGTTTTTCACGTAGCTATGAAATTTACTTTTAGCTAACATTTTACAAGGGTAGTTTACATGAAAAGCAAGAAGCAATCAAAAACTCGCTATCTCATATCGTTTCAACACGAGAAAAATGCACTGAAACAACAGTTTGCTTATCGCGATTTCGCGAATCGGCTCAAACACATCCTGGCATAAAAAATAAATTTATCCCTGTTTTTGCCGTAGCGGTATTTGTACCATCTCCCAATTTTCGTTTGACCCTTTCCGTTGATGTCA